ATGTAGATCAATCAATCAATCAAATGTATTTTATAAAGCTATTTACAGTGCTTTACAGATACTCAGCCAAAACCCCCAAAGAGCAAGCAATGCAGATGCAGAAGCACAGTGGCTAAGAAAAACTCCCCAGAAGGCAGGAACCTAAGAAGAAACCTAGAGAGGAACCAGGCTCGGAGGGGTGGCAAAGTCCATAGAAGCTATAGAGGGTGGAACAGTTCAACACATCAGGAGTCAATGTCAGTTGGCTTTTCATAGCCAGGCATTCAGAGGTAGAGGGAGAGGGAGAGGGAGAGGGAGAGGGAGAGGGAGAGAGAGAGAGAGAGAGAGAGAGAGAGAGAGAGAGAGAGAGAGAGAGAGAGAGAGAGAGAGAGAGAGAGAGATTAATGTTTACTGTTAATATTTATTGTTTATTTCACTTTTGTTTACTATCTACTTCACTTGCTTTGGCAATGTTAACATATGTTTCCCATGCCAATAAAGCCCTTAAATTGAAATTGAATTGAATTGAGAAAGAGAGAAAGAAAGGGTCCACAGCTGCAGGCAGAACTGGAGCAGCAGTACAACCTGGTGGACTGGTGACAGAGACAGCCAGGAGTCGTCAGGCCAGGTAGTACAAACCATGTTGTTGGAGTCCGGCATGCTAGTTGGCTGTGGCGTCATATGACTAGGTGCCCTGGACGGTTTTCACGGAAGAATACTGTACCAAGTTAGCTAGCTGAATAAACTAAGTTAGTCTATTCCTAGAAAACATTGAACCGCTGTAGTTTACAACAATTATAGTTTCTGAGGTGGAAGTTGGGAGAGTTATATTTGGGTGTTTCAGTGAAATGTAACACCCTATCTCCTTTTACATTATTGTAGCCATTTTCTGTAGCCTGTCAACTATGCCTCTGTCTATCCCTGTTCTCTCCTCTCCGCACAGGCTATACAAACGCCTCACACCGCGTGGCTGCTGCCTCTCTAACCTGGTGGTCCCTGCACGCACGACCCACGTGGAGTTCCAGGTCTCCGGCAGCGTCTGGAACTGCCGTTCTGCGGCCAACAAGGCAGAGTTCATCTCAGCCTATGCTACCCTCCAGTCCCTCGACTTCTTGGCGCTGACGGAAACATGGATTACCACTGAAAACACTGCTACTCCTACTGCTCTCTCCTCGTCTGACCATGTCGCTCTGGTTAAGAGCGTCTGCTAAATGACTAAAATGTAAATGTAAATATGTCAGCGGGGTGGTGGCACAGGAATCCTCATCTCTCCCAAGTGGACATTCTCTCTTTTTCCCCTGACCCATCTGTCTATCTCCTCATTTGAATTCCATGCTGTCACAGTCACTAGCCCATTCAAACTTAACATCCTTGTCATTTATCGCCCTCCAGGTTCCCTTGGAGAGTTCATCAATGAGCTTGACGCCTTGATAAGTTCCTTTCCTGAGGATGGCTCACCCCTCACAGTTCTGGGTGACTTCAACCTCCCTACGTCTACCTTTGACTCATTTCTCTCTGCCTCCTTCTTTCCACTCCTCTCCTCTTTTGACCTCACCCTCTAACCGCCCCCCCCTACTCACAAGGCAGGCAATACGCTTGACCTCATCTTTACTAGATGCTGTTCTTCTACTAATCTCACTGCAACTCCCCTCCATGTCTCCGACCACTACTTTGTATCCTTTTCGCTCTCGCTCTCCTCCAACACTACTCACTCTGCCCCTACTCAGATGGTAATGCGCCGTCGCAACCTTCGCTCTCTCTCTCCCGCTACTCTCTCCTCTTCCATCCTATCATCTCTTCCCTCTGCTCAATCCTTCTCCCTCCAATCTCCTGATTCTGCCTCCTCAACCCTCCTCTCCTCCCTTTCTGCATCCTTTGACTCTCTATGTCCCCTATCCTCCCGGCCGGCTCGGTCCTCCCCTCCTGCTCCGTGGCTTGACGACTCATTGCGAGCTCACAGAACAGGGCTCCGGGCAGCCGAGCGGAAATGGAGAAAAACTAGACTCCCTGCGGACCTGGCATCTTTTCACTCCCTCCTCTCTACATTTTCTTCCTCTGTTTCTGCTGCTAAAGCCACTTTCTACCACTCTAAATTCCAAGCATCTGCCTCTAACCCTAGGAAGCTCTTTGCCACCTTCTCCTCCCTGCTGAATCCTCCTCCCCCTCCCCCATCCTCCCTCTCTGTGGATGACTTCGTCAACCATTATGAAAAGAAGGTTGATGACATCCGATCCTCATTTGTTAAGTCAAATGACACTGCTGGTTCTGCTCACACTGCCCTACCCTATGCTTTGACTTCTTTCTCCTCTCTCTCTCCAGATGAAATCTTGTGACTTGTGACAGCCGGCCACCCAACAACCTGCCCGCTTGACCCTATCCCCTCCTCTCTTCTCCAGACCATCTCCGGTGACCTTCTCCCTTACCTCACCTCGCTCATCAACTCATCCTTGACCGCTGGCTATGTCCCTTCCGTCTTCAAGAGAGCGAGAGTTGCACCCCTTCTCAAAAAACCAACACTCGATCCCTCTGATGTCAACAACTACAGACCAGTATCCCTTCTTTCTTTTCTCTCCAAAACTCTTAAGCGTGCCGTCTTTAGCCAACTCTCTTGCTATCTCTCTCAGAATGACCTTCTTGATCCAAACCAGTCAGGTTTCAAGACTGGTCATTCAACTGAGACTGCTCTTCTCTGTGTCACGGAGGCTCTCCGCACTGCTAAAGCTAACTCTCTCTCCTCTGCTCTTGTCCTTCTAGACCTGTCTGCTGCCTTTGATACTGTGAACCATCAGATCCTCCTCTCCATCCTCTCCGAGTTGGGCATCTCCGGCGCGGCTCACTCTTGGATTGCGTCCTACCTGACCGGTCGCTCCTACCAAGTGGCGTGGCGAGAATCTGTCTCCGCACCACGTGCTCTCACCACTGGTGTCCCCCAGGGCTCAGTTCTAGGCCCTCTCCTATTCTCGCTATACACCAAGTCACTTGGCTCTGTCATATCCTTACATGGCCTCTCCTATCATTGCTACGCAGATGACACAAAACTAATCTTCTCCTTTCCCCCTTCTGATAACCAGGTGGCGAATCGCATCTCTGCATGTCTGGCAGACATATCAGTGTGGATGACGGATCACCACCTCAAGCTGAACCTCGGCAAGACGGAGCTGCTCTTCCTCCCGGGGAAGGACTGCCAGTTCCATGATCTCGCCATCACGGTTGACAACTCCGTTGTGTCCTCCTCCCAGAGTGCGAAGAGCCTTGGCGTGACCCTGGACAACACCCTGTCGTTCTCCGCTATCATCAAGGCGGTGACCCGATCCTGTAGGTTCATGCTCTGCAACATTTGGAGAGTACGACCCTGCCTTACACAGGAAGCGGCACAGGTCCTAATCCAGGCACTTGTCATCTCCCGTCTGGATTACTGCAACTCGCTGTTGGCTGGGCTCCCTGCCTGTGCCATTAAACCCCTACAACTCATCCAGAATGCCGCAGCCCGTCTGGTGTTCAACCTTCCCAAGTTCTCTCACGTCACCCCGCTCCTCCGCACACTCCACTGGCTTCCAGTTGAAGCTCGCATCTGCTACAAGACCATGGTGCTTGCCTACGGAGCTGTGAGGGGAACGGCACCTCCGTACCTTCAGGCTCTGATCAGTCCCTACACCCAAACGAGGGCATTGCGTTCATCCACCTCTGGCCTGCTGGCCCCCCTACCTCTGCAGAAGCACAGTTCCCGCTCAGCCCAGTCAAAACTGTTCGCTGCTCTGGCACCCCAATGGTGGAACAAGCTCCCTCACGACGCCAGGACAGCGGAGTCACTCACCACCTTCCGGAGACACTTGAAACCCCACCTCTTTAAGGAATACCTGGGATAGGATAAAGTAATCCCCCCCCCCCCCCCCCCCTTATAGCCAGTGGTTATCCCACTGGCTATAAGGTGAATGCACCAATTTGTAAGTCGCTCTGGATAAGAGTCGCTTTGGATAAAAGCGTCTGCTAAATGGCATATTATTATTATTATTAAGAGCGTCTGCTAAATGACGTAAATGGAAATGTTATTGTTGTATCATTATAGTAAAAAATATAGACAGTAAATAGATATTTGTTTATTTATTTCAATAATATATTCTTTTTTTTTTCTCAATAAATGTATGTTTAAGTCAGTTTAAACTATAATCTTTGGGATTTTAAATCAGAAAAACATCCTTTAACAGTCATGCAAAAAAATTCTGGGGGACTTTTATTTTGAAATTTAGCCGTATGATCACGTCACCTTAATGTCGCTAGGTTCACATTGCCAGAGAACAGCGAGTTTTGTTACAGCTGATTCCATTGAACTGATGCCCCCCCCCCCCTTCACTACATTGCTAGGCTACATTATAACCTCGAATGGATACATCTGACGGGCATAACATGAGGGACAAATAACGATATTTCTATTGAAGGGAATATTGGCAGATTATGAAATCAGACCATTGCATATAAGATATGTATTTTATGGAATTTCCATTTGTTTGCAATGAAGACATCTCAGATGGAGAAGAGAAAGGGACACAGGAAATAAGCGGTATAGTGTGCACGCTTGCAAGCATCTCTTTAATAACATAATAACGGCGAAATGGTCGCAAAACATTTGAGTTTTCATTCCACTCATCTTTCAAATATATTTTCCGGACACCATAAGCTACCAGGTTGCAATACTGAGCAATGGTAATGGGTGAAACAGCGGGCGTTCATAGCCACGGCCATGGTCGATAGTTAAAAGGCAGTGGGAAGGTAACAGAAACGGCTTTGCATAAATCCTACACCAGGACTTCGCGTACGCGCGGTAAAGATGAGAGGCTTGCCCTTCTACCAAGAGGACGACGACAATACATCCACTGGGCATGACCAAAACATTGATATGGGACGTTGAAATCCATGCCTGATTCTCTTTTATCCTATCTGCCTTTGGAGGGGGCGAGATAGAGGAGACTTTCCACCTTGACTCAATATAAGGGAGAAGAGAAGAGAGCATCCACGTCTGAGAAATGGATAAACTCACCGTCATATCAGGATGTCTCTTTCTAGCAGCAGATATATTTGCTATAGCCAGTATTGCCAATCCAGACTGGATCAACACAGGAGATGCAGCTGGTAAGTTAGGTGAGCTCATTTAACTTAATTGACATATTTACTTGACAGCCATGCACACACCACAGCCTGTTTGGCCCTTAAGGGCCTTTGTTGACAATGATCAATAATGTGCATTGACACACTATTCTTCTAGGAATTCACTTCACATTCACTTCTCTCTCTCTCTCTCTCTCTCTCTCTCTCTCTCTCTCTCTCTCTCTCTCTCTCTCTCTCTCTCTCCCCCGTCCTCTCAGGGCATGTCCTCAAACCACCCATCATCATCCTCCACAGCTGCTGATAAATGAACTGCCCTCTACTTTTCTGCCCCAACATGCTCTGATACCCCATGTCCCTTCAAGGCGTATAAGCCTTCCTGTACCAGCTACCAACTCACCTCCCTGAGCGGGATGACAGTTGACAAATTGTGTGTCAGACAGAGACGTGAAGTGAGTGCCACTTATCCAGCTATGCCCTTGGCGGTCTGTTCAGCTCTCCACTCACTCACTCTCTGTCTGTTATATGCATCTGACACAGACAGACTGAGGCATTGGTATTTCATCTACAGTACCCAGTTTGAGGACATGGTAAAGTGAAGAGCAGCAGTAAAGTGAAGTAAAGTTAGGCTACTGCTACAGCTACAAAACGGGCCACTTGAAATGAGCTAGTGACCTTTAGCTACAGCTGGAGCCAGCAGATTGTAGTTCCATGCTGTGGCCTACTGCATAACCGACGGGATAGGTGACATTTTCCCCTTGTTGTTGTGAGGTAGGAACCAGCACAGAGATGTAATTTATTGAGTCCTGTGTTTAGATTTTAACGGTATGATTTGCGATCATACTTTTCTTTTTTATACATCATATACACTGGGACAAAGAATTAAAACATAGGAAGGACCAAACTAGATATAAACGAGTCCCCTGTAGCTCACATGGTAGAGCATGGTGCTTGCAACGCCAGGGTTGTGGGTTCGATTCCCACGGGGGGGCCAGTATGAAAATATATGCACTCACTAACTGTAAGTCGCTCTGGATAAGAGCATCTGCTAAATGACTAAAATGTCAAATGTAATATAATATCCCACTTCCCTCACACAAGATCACATAATTCATCAAAGGTTTTAAAACATGGTTATAACAATGTTATAACTGTCTTATGTGCTCAGCACATTGAGAATTTATGCAAACCTGAAAATGTACAATTTATAGCCTACATTACACTGTTACAACACAGTCCAGTAGCATTCAGGTAGAACATACGATGCAAAGAAGAAACAGAAACATGCTTGAGGTCCACCCATATTGTGTTTTCAGTCATTACTAACCAGACTTCCCTTGTGAGACTTCATCCCTTCATCCCACACAACAGAGAAGGTATGAAATCAAGTAGGGTTAAAAGCCTTTTGTTCCAGCCTAATTTGTCTACTAGTAATTACCAGGTGGAGAGAAGCGTTGTTTGTAAATTGAGATGTGTGGAGTCTTTCCTGATGAGGTCCGCTGGGAGGGAGAATTCTTTCAGATGAAGCACTCACAGCTCAATTATCAAGGAAATTGCCTTGACTGGAAGGCCCTGTTTGTGTATCTGAGCTCCAAACATATTGTTTTGTTCATGTGAAATGGATAAATGCATAGACCTAGTTGTTCCTGCCAATTAAGTTCATTTGCCAGTCTAGCATTTTGGCAGCACCCAGATGTTGATGCTCATTGCTCACAGATAAACAGATGTTGACAGTGACATCATCAGATTGGCAGATGTTGTTATAAACACAAATGGCTCTCTCTCATCACCTGTAGTTTAGCCTGGAAATTCATAATGATGGTTTATTTGTTTACAGCAAACCTCTGTCCTCTCTAAGTAGTTATCCAGGATGTGAAGCTTTATACAAGTTTATAGAGGTGTGTGTGTGTTATACTAACGTAACTCTTGGTTGTTACGCAGGTATTCTGTAGTGATGTCTGAAGCAGCAGGGGACTGACTGGGGCTGCAAGGGGAATGTTTACTAACTACAGACATTGGCCCACAATCACACACAGTCACACACACACACCTCCCTCTGTCTCAAAGCCCTGGCTATCAGACAAGCCTGATGTGTTACACACATAAAACAGCTGCTGAACAGTTCCGAGAATTAGAAATGTCCTCCAAGAGTGCCAAGGAACAAAAAGTACCATTTAGATCATTGTCAAACTATGGAATGGGTGTGTAAGCTTGCTTAAGAGAGGGAAATATTGTGTCATGACAGGATATAGTTACGCCACTTTTGTAACATTTAATCAGTATCTTTGATTCTTTGACAATAGAATATGTGACACACTGCTTCTATAGATGGGTTAGCTGACAACATCATGAAAACAATGTCCACGCTTCAATGGGGCAGAAGGCCGTGTTTTGTTGTGATTCTGGATGGCCAGATAGCTAGCAACAATGACAAGAAGCTACCATGTGGGGAATCGTAGGTGGCTAGTTTTATCTTGTTCTTGAAAACCATGTCTTGTTTTGAGGTGTTTTGCCTGTCACGTCTATGCTAATATGGCAAAAATTCACTAGCTAGCTATCCAACAACTGTAACAATGTAGTTGAGAGACAACAAGTGCTAATTGTGCACATTAATTTATGTTTTCAAATATAGTTTATATGTCAACGATCTAAGCCAACCTCATCTGTTTTGCCTCATAGTTGCGCACGTGTTGGTGTTGTTGCTAAACAACCAACCCGTCTATGATGCAGGACCTTTTCACTAAGGAAATGAAATGGTTCAGATGTGTAGTCGTGGTAGCTTATGTATGGTCTGTTTACTTTTGTTTTGATGAAAGAATGTATAGGGAAGGAACAGGACATACTGTGTATAAAATGGAGGGGCTGAGAGATCGTTGAATCAGCATAGTGTGCATACAGTACTGTACGGTGCACTACTTTAATTTTAATTTTTTATTTGACCTTTATTTAACCAGGTAAGCCAGTTGAGAACAAGTTCTCATTTACAACTGCGACCTGGCCAAAGCAGTGCGATTTAAAAACAACAACAACACAGAGTTACATATGGAATAAACAAAACATACAGTCAATAACACAATAGAAAATCTATATACAGTGTGTGCAAATGTAGTAAGTTATGGAGGTAAGGCAATAAATAGGCCATAGTGCAAAATAATTACAATTTAGTATTAACACTGGAGTGATAGATGTGCAGAAGATGATGTGCAAATAGAGATACTGGGGTGCAAATGAGCAAAATAAATAACAATATGGGGATGAGGTAGTTGGGTGGGCTAATTACAGATGGGCTGTGTACAGGTGCAGTGATCGGTAAGCTGCTCTGACAACTGATGCTTAAAGATAGTGAGGGAGATAAGTGTCTCCAGCTTCAGAGATTTTTGCAGTTCGTTCCAGTCATTTGCAGCAGAGAACTGGAAGGAATGGCGGCCAAAGGAGGTGTTGGCTTTGGGGATGACCAGTGAGATATACCTGCTGGAACGCATACTACGGGTGGGTGTTGCTATGGTGACCAATGAGCTAAGATAAGGCAGGGATTTGCCTAGAAGATATTTATAGATGACCTGGAGCCAGTGGGTTTGGCGACGAATATGTAGTGAGGGCCAGCCAACGAGAGCGTACAGCAGTTCACTACAGTACAGTATGCTCTCTCGCTGCAGGCTCATACAACCTTTTGGCACTCTGGTACCTCATAGTTGACACATGTATCCTACTGTATATCTAGCTAAACTAATGAAAGGGTATATCTTCAAAACAAATCAGCTTAATAAAAAAAAAACACCATTGATGGGAAGTTTTCCACTCAGATCTCTGTCCGGTACTATAACATGATCTGTATCAGGGTTGTTAACATATTAGTCTTCCATTCATTTGTGATTCTGGTCATTGGGAAGCAAACTGGATCTCTATAATGAATGAGGAACAGGACACAGTAGTTTGGTTTAGTAATGAGTAATTATATACATTAGGATGCCATGTCAATAGCCATGGCATAACAGCTGTGGTCAACATTACAGTGTCTTGCAAAAGTATTCATCCCCCTTGGCGTTTTCCTATTTTGTTGCATTACAACCTGTAATTTAAATTGATTTTTATTTGGATTTAATGTAATGGACATACACAAAATAGTCCAAATTGATGAAGTGAAATGAAAAAAATAACTTGTTTCAAACAATTCAAAAAAATTAATAACGGAAAAGTGGTGTGTGCATATGTATTCACCCCCTTTGCTATGAAGCCCTTAAATAAAAATAAGATCTGGTGCAACCAATTACCTTCAGAAGTCACATAATTTGTTAAATAAAGTCCACCTGTGTGCAATCTAAGTGTCACATGATCTGTCACATGATCTCAGTATATATACACCTGTTCTGAAAGGCCCCAGAGTCTGCAACAGCACTAAGCAAGCGGCACCACGAAGACCAAGAAGCCCTCCAAACAGGTCAGGGACAAAGTTTTGGAGATGTACAGATCAGGGTTGGGTTATGAAAAAATATCTGAAACTTTGAACATCCCACAGAGCACCATTTAAATCCATTATAAAAAAATTTGAAAGAATATGGCACCACAACAAACCTGCCAAGAGAGGGCCGCCCACCAAAACTCACAGACCAGGCAAGGAGGGCATTAATCAGAGAGGCAACAAAGAGACCAAAGATAACCCTGAAGGAGCTGCAAAGCTCCACAGCGGAGATTGGAGTATCTGTCCATAGGACCACTTTAAGCCGTACACTCCACAGAGCTGGGCTTTACGGAAGAGTGGCCAGAAAAAAGACATTGCTTAAATAAATAAATAAGCAAACACGTTTGTGGTTCGCCAAAAGGCATGTGGGAGACTCCCCAAACATATGGAAGAAGGTACTCTGGTAAGATGAGACTAAAATCGAGCTTTTTGGCCATCAAGGAAAATGCTATGTCTGGCGCAAACCCAACACCCCTCATCACCCTGAGAACACCATCCCCACAGTGAAGCATGGTGGTGGCAGCATCATGCTGTGGGAATGTTTTTGATCGGCAGGGACTGGGAAACTGGTCAGAATTGAAGGAACGATGGATGGCACTAAATACAGGAAATTCTTGAGGTAAACCTGTTTCAGTCTTCCAGAGATTTCAGACTGGGATGGAGGTTCACCTTCCAGCAGGACAATGACCCTAAGCATACTGCTAAAGCAACACTTGAGTGGTTTAAGGGGAAACATTTAAATGTATTGGAATGGCCTAGTAAAAGCCCAGACCTCAATCCAATTGAGAATCTGTGGTATGACTTAAAGATTGCTGTACACCAGTGGAACCAATCCAACTTGAAGGAACTGGAGCAGTTTTGCCTTGAAGAATGGGCAAAAATCCCAGTGGCTAGATGGGCCAAGCTTATAGAGACATACCCCAAGAGACTTGCAGCTGTAATTGCTGCAAAAGGTGGCTCTACAAAGTATTGACTTTGGAGGGGTTGAATAGTTATGCACGCTCAAGTTTTCAGTTTTTTTGTCTTATTTCTTGTTTGTGTCACAATAAAACATATTTTGCATCTTCAAAGTGGTAGACATGTTGTGTAAATCAAATGATACAAACCCCCCAAAAATCCATTTTAATTCCAGGTTGTAAAATAGGAAAATGCCAATGGGGGTGAATACTTTCGCAAGGCACTGTACATCCATTTACAGTCGGCCTACGTGTGTGTCTTCACATCACAGGCGGCTGGTGGCACCTTAATTGGGGAGGACGGGCTTATAGTAATGGCTGGAACTGAATAAATGGAATGGTATAGAATACATCAAACAGATGGTTTCTATGTGTTTGATACCATTCCATTCACTCCATTCAAGCCATTATTATGAGCCGTCCTCCCCTCAGCAGCCTTCTGTGCTTTACATACTGAACACTGAATGGCAAATTACCTAATTGCTAGTACTAAGCCTCAATGCTGGCATCTAAGGACAAAGTCCCTATCTTTGCCAGTATACTCACATCAAGGGCAGTATACTATGTCCTTAAATCTTTGAGGGATGCTCATCATATTGGTCCATACTCCTTCCCTCCCCTCTTTAGTGATGTATGTTCTTGTTTCAGAGACATAATGGGGTATTTCTAAGTCTCAGCAGGGCCAGACCGATCTGTCCAATTACTAAATTAATCTCCATCCATCTTTCTAATCCAATAGATAAAAAATGGTTGTGCCTTGCCCACTGTTTCTCTCTCTGCTCTTTCTCCAGCCTTAGTTCCTCTCTCCTCTAACCGCTCTTTCTCCAGCCTCAGTTCCTTTCTCCTCTCTCTCTCCATCCTCTGTTCCTCTCTCCGCTCTGTCCTGAGCCTCTGGAAGACACAAGGTGCTGGCAAATTCCTCGCCTCATGAGAGACTTAGAGCGAGAGAGGGGGAAAAATGGAGAGGGAGGATTTAATTTTACATTTCTCTCATAAAAATCTATACTGGTGAATTGTCCTTAATAGCTGACGAGGGGGTTGAGTGTTGCTGAGTTTACATATTCTGTGTTGGGTCAGGGACAGACAGAGAGGATGGAGTTCGTATATGATCTTGTTGTTGTCGAAAGCGTAATGTCTTCAGCAGGCCTAGATAACTGACATAATTGGACCCGCCAGGCTTTGAGGCAGGAGAGGAGAGGCTCTTTGGCAGTGAGTTACTTTCTGATGTAAGGCCTCTCTTCCCTCTCTCTTTTCTCTCTCTCCTTTATCTCATCTCTCTCTGTGGTGTTAAGGGCTCTGGTCCTGAGCCATCTGAGTCTTACGTCATTGATTGATTCCTCAGGGACCCCTGCCATTGGTTCAGGTCCTAAGAGTCCCACTCTTCGGCCTTGTTATCATACCAACCCTCCTTGAGCTCTACTTTGTGTGGTCACAGGGGACTGGAAGTGGAATCCGGTGTCACCAGGGAGGTCATTAGTCCAGACGGCGATGTAATGCCGTCATGCCTCATACAGATCTTAGCTTATCTAATGGTGGCACCATCACAAGTTGAGGGATATTTCATAACTGATGCAATCTGCTGCTATGGGTTATGCTTCTTCTAATAAAACAATGTATATATCTTGTTGTGGTGTGACAGCACAATTGAACAGCGAGAGTATGCTCTGTGTGTGATGAAAGATACTCTCCCTCTGTGTGTCTATGTGATTAAGCACCCTCTCTGTAGGTGCTCTGACAGCGGGACTGCTTGTCGTGTGTGATCTAACCCTGACTGATCTCTGTCTCTCTCTCTCTCTAGGTTCCCTGACGGTAGGCCTGGTGCGGCAGTGCCAGACCATCCACGGTCGTGACCGGACCTGTATCCCCCCGCGGCTGCCCCCAGAGTGGGTCACCACCCTCTTCTTCATCATCCTGGGCATCATCTCCCTCACGGTGACCTGCGGTCTGCTAGTGGCGTCACACTGGTACCGCGAAGCCACCCGTTACGCCCGCTGGATCGCCTTCACTGGGAGTATGTTTAATTTTGAATTATTTAACGGTTATTCAACCAGGCAGGTCAATGGAGAACCAGTTCTCATTTACAGTGACGGCAAAGAGACAAAAACCACAATACAATAAGTACAGAAACATAGCCAACACTAAGTCATCATTTCATTCATGAGTGGGGCCAGACAGAATCCCTATTATCCCCTATGTGGGCTCTGGTTAAAGTAGTACAGACTAGGGAATAGGGTCATTTGAGGCATAGCCGTTAGTTGGCCTACAGCTTCAAAGCACCTTGAGATTCTTGTTATGTCACTAATGGATGTTAGCAAGTTGATTTGAGATTAATGTCACTTGGGTTTCATTTAGGAAAAATATTTTGTGTGGTAACTGTGGCTGTGCTGAGTGGCTCCTTGAACACATAGGCTACAGTAAATGGGCCTGTTGCTATTTTAAAAGGGAATGAGACCATGGGGCTGCTATTAGCGGAGCTAAAACCAGTAGGAGGGATTTTTAGTGGTCCAAGGGATATGACGGAATAACATTATTTTGTTATTATTATACTTCGAGAGGTTATTTTAGGCTAATCATTATTGGGCAAAAATAACCTCTTGATGTATAATAATAACAAAATAATGACAATGTAAATCAATTTTGTTGAGTGCTGAGGTGTTACATTTTAAAAATCTAAAATATCTATAGTATATTTTGATATCAGAGTGGTGAGTAATGTCTGAGTAGGTTTATTCTGGGAGTTGTTGATCATAATGACTAGATATAACTGTGTGGTTATAGGTATTCAGACTATTCACACTACATGAGAACATGATATACAGTATGTCACTTAGGTCAGGCTTCAATGACGATGAAAACGCAATATAGAATTTAGCCTGAGATCATGTACACTGGATGCTGCATACTTTTTCAATGTTGTAAGCGATATTGCTCCCTACATTTGATGCACTGTGAATAGTGTTTTTAAGAAGACTGTGTTTCTAAAATGTTTTCTCTCCTACACAGTGATCCTGTTCTGTATGGCGGCTCTTATATTTCCTATAGGATTTTACATCGACGAGGTTGGGGGACAGCCTTACAAACTACCTAACAACACAGTGGTGGGGTCCTCATATGTACTCTTTGTTCTATCTATATTTTTCACTATAGTGGGACTATTGTTTGCAGGGAAGGTCTGCTTGCCTGGGTGACATATCGGACACTTCGTTTTTTGTAAACATTCTTGTACTTATGTAGCACATGAGGATGTGTGAAACTTCCTCCTCAGCCTGAAGTGTCCCGCTTGCGTCGCCTCATTAGCTAGCTTTTGAGGTGGTGCGATCGGCTAAGACGCTTGAGGAGGGCGGCCACGTGTGTTTGTAAGGCAGAGGTCCTGAGTTTGCGCCAGCTATGGGCCGAATCGGGAGGAAGTGGTACTCGCTAAGCAAGTAGCATGACATCCTTTACAGTTAGAGAAATGCCTTCAGAGACATTTGAAAATGGACGCCTGGAAGAGAAAAATAGGAACTGAGAGAAACACTCTTTCTCTGTGTTTGTGGAACTCTCTGGAGCGCCTTTGGATGACAGGACTCTACGGCCCCTAGCCCTGGTCCTATAGGACAGGAAGTAGGCACTAGCCAGTCTGCGTTCATAGATATGGGAGGAATGGACACCTATCCAACCCCCTCACAGATCGGTGAACACAGAAGGTTCGTTCCACGAATAGAGTGGCTTTTCGGGTAGTGTAACTTTTTATTTCACCTCATTTTAACATTCTGTCATAAAGAGCACATGTTTAATGTCATAACAAACATGTTTTCCCATCTCCATCTCCTTTTGAAAAAAATATTTAAAAAGGAATAAGTTTACCGTATTTAAACAGCGTTCAGTTCACGTAACGGGGTTGACCATAAACCTGTGGGACATTAATCACTAATCAAATGAAATAAATAATAATCTTCAGAAATCACTTTGTCAAAGCAAGAAATTAAATTAGGGCTTTACAATAATTGTGTAAACTTGGAGAAATTTGGGGGTTAAGTGGGTTAAAATCTTTAAGTCGGAGAAACATGATGTGGGACATGGCAAATTTGGGATTTTCTGAGAAAACAACCAATGTATTTTAATGTAAAACACACTACTATTGTATTTTTTTATGTTTAGTTAGAGTGTAGATGTACAGTGCCTTCAGAAAGTATTCATACCACTTGACTTATTCCACATTTTGTTGTGTTACATACAGCCTGAATTCAAAATGGATACACACAATACCCCATAATGACAAAGTGAAAACATGTTTTTAGAAATGTTAGCAAATTCATAGAAAATGTAATACAGAAATATATAATTTACATAAATATTCATACACCTGAGTCAATACTTTGTAGAAGCACCTTTGGCAGTGATTACAGCTGTGAGTCTTTCTGGTTAAGTCTCTAAGAGCTTTCCACACCTGGATTGTGCAACATTTTCCCATTATTCTTTTGAAAATTCTTCAAGGCCTTGTATTTTAGGTTATTGTCCTGCTGAAAGGTGAAATCATCTCCCAGTGTCTGGTGGAAAGCAGACTGAACCAGGATTTTACTTGTGCTTCACTCCATTCCGTTTCTTTTTTATCCTGATAAACTCCCAAGTCCCTAATGATTCCAAGCATACCCATAACATGATGCAGCTACCACTATGCTTGAAAATATGGAGACTGGTACTCATTAATGTGTTGTATTAGATTTGCCCCAAACATAACACTTTGTATTCAGGACAAAAGGTTAATTGCTTTTCCAGATTTTTTGCAGTATTACTTTGGTACCTTGTTGCAAACAGGATGCATGTTTTGGAATATTTTTATTCTGTACAGGCTTCCTTCTTTTCACTCTGTCAGTTAGGTTAGTATTGTGGAGTAACTACAATGTTGTTTATCCATCCTCAGTTTTCTCCTATCAAATCAAATCAAATTGTATTTGTCACATGCACAGCCATTAAACTCAGTAACTGTTTTAAAGTCACCATTGGCCTCATGGTGAAATCCCTGAGCGGTTTCCTTCCTCTCCGGCAACTGAGTTAGGAAGGACGCCTGCATATTTTTAGTGAGTGGGTGTATTGATACACATCCAAAGTGTAATTAATAACTTTACCATGCTCAAAGGGATATTCAATGTTTGCTTTTTTTTACCCATCTATCAATAGGTGCCCTTCTTTGCAAGCCATTGGAAAACCTCCCTGGTCTTTGTGGTTGAATCCGTGTTTAGAATTCACTGCTCGACTGAGGGACCTCACAGATAATTGTATGTGTGGCATACAGAGATTAAGTAGTCATTTAAAAATAATGTTAAACACTATTATTGCACACAGAGTGAGTCCATGCAACTTATGTGACTCGTTAAGCAAATGTTTACTCCTGAACTTATTTAGGCTTGCCATAACAAAGGGGTTGAATACTTATTGACTCAAGACATTTCAGCTTTTCATTTGTAAAAATATAATTACACTTTGACATTATGCGATATTGTGTTTAGGCCAGTGACAAAAAATCTAAATGTAATCAATTTTAAATTCAGGCTGTAACACAACAAAATGTGGAAAAAGTCAAGGAGTGTGCATACTTTCTGAAGGCACTGTATGTGATCCAACTTTTAAATTGAGTGTTTTATTAAAATATGCACATATAATGTCACAAGCTTATAAAAGGCACTCTCTTCGTGAAGAGACCCAGGAGGGTTAGTGGCTGGAGTCTGAAACAGACATGGGTCATCAGGATACTGAAAGGGAAGACTGTCACCCATGGCCATGACAACAGGAAGTCAAGTCACTCCGCCCCATGGGAAGTACAGTGGTAGAAAGACTGGAGCCGGCAATAGGAAAGATGAAGCCATAATTGTGTAGATGATACGTATATGGTTGGAAGTTGAGTTAGACCTCAGAGCTGTTGTCTTGGGTTCTATGGGTGAAGCTGGCCTCAAGATTCATGGCGAAACTATGAAAAGAAGGGAATCTGTTGGGTCACGTGATGATGGGAAGCAATTAGAAATGATTCTATACAATTTTAGTCTTTCATGAAAGAGTAAAAATATTTGTTTTCATTAATGCATTATTTTATCAAAATGGTGCATTTATAGTTCTTTTTTATGGTCAATGAACTGTATCATGGAATTCCTACGTCTCTGTTTTCTTTGTTTGTTTTTTATGTCTATTTTTTCTCATGACTGGCTGACTTGCTCATTTAAGCTACATAGACAGAATGGCTGTCGTTGTTTGAGGAAGAACTGTGATATACAGTACATGAACTACCCTGGCAAACCAATTCAATAAAAGTTATACAACATGACAAATTATGTAATCTATTTATTGTGTACTGTATAATGGGGAGGATATTCTATATCATTAGCAATGTATTACATTATTGCAAGTAAAAAGTAGGCTGTGCTCTGTTCTGGATATTATTTACCAAAAAGGTGGCAAAAGACCCTGAAAAACTTTGCAGAAGAAGCACAATAACATGTTACCATGGATATCTAAAAGAAAAGGCATTTGTTGTGTGGTGTTTTTATTTTGGGACAACACACTGCATTCTGTTGTAGCAGCCTGGTCTCAGACTAGACATAACATAGTACATTTTAAACAAGGGCTACTCAAATTAGTATGATATGTTACGTTTGGTATGGTTACATAAGACAGATGGTTAAAAGACAAAAACAAAGGGTGGTCAGGGTGGATAGGTGAGTGTATAACACAAACGTCTAGTAATCCAAAGGTTGCGAGTTTGAATCTCATCACGGACAACTTTAGCATTTTAGCTAATTAGCAACTTTTCAAATACTTACTACGTTTTAGCTACTTTGCAACTACTTAGCATGTTAGCTAACCCTAACCGTAACCCCTAACGCAAACCCCTAGCATAGCTAACATTAGTCACCTAGCTAGAATTCGTAACAGTATCATACATTTAGCAAATTCGTAACATATTGTACATTTTGCAAATTCAAAATCAAATCAAATTGTATTTGTCACTTGCGCCGAATACAACAGGTGTAGACCTTACAGTGAAATGCTTACTTACAAGCCCTTAACCAACAATGCAGTTTTAAGAAAGAATACCCCCAAAAAATCACAAAAAAATACAATATAAAATAATACAAAATAAAAGTAACAAATAATTAAAGAGCAGCAGTAAAAATAACAATTGCGAGGCTATATACAGGGGGTACCGGTACCAAGTCAATGTGCGGTGGCACCGGTTAGTCGAGGTAATTGGGGTAATATGTACATGTAGGTAGAGTTATTAAAGTGACTATGCATAGATAATAAACAGAGAGTAGCAGAAGCGTAAAAGAGGGGTGGGGGGGCAATGCAAATAGTTTGGGTAGCCATTTGATTAGATGTTCAGGAGTCTTATGGCTTGGGGGTAGAAGCTGTTTAGAAGCCTCTTGGACCTATACTTGGCGCTCTGGTACCGCTTGCCATGCGGTAGCAGAGAGAACAGTCTATGGCTAGGGTGGCTGGAGACTTTTCTGCCTTCCTCTGACACCGCCTGGTTTAGAGGTCCTGGATGGCAGGAAGCTTGGCCCCAGGCACTACCCTCTGTAGTGCCTTGCGGTCGGAGGCTGAGTAGCTGCCATACCAGGCAGTGATGCAACCAGTCAGGATGCTCTCGATGGTGCAGCTGTAGAACCTTTTGAGGATTTGAGGACCCATGACAAATCTTTTCAATCTCCTTAGGGGGAATAGGTTTTGTCGGGCCCTCTTCACGACTGTCTTGGTGTGCTTGGACCATGTTAGTTTCTTGGTGATGTGGACACCAAGGAACTTGAAGCTCTCAACCTGCTCCACTACAGCCCGTCGATGAGAATGGGGGCGTGCTCGGTCCTCTTCTTTTTCCTGTAGTCCACAATCATCTCCTTTGTCTTGATCACGTTGAGGGAGAGGTTGTTGTCCTGGCACCACACGGCCAGGTCTCTGACCTCCCTATAGGCTGTCTGGTCGTTTTCGGTGATCAGGACTGAGCACGCACCACTGAGGGGCCCCCGTGTTGAGGATCAGCGTGGCGGATGTGTTGTTACCTCCCCTTACCACCTGGGGGCGGCCCGTCAGGAAGTCCAGGATCCAGTTGCAGAGGGAGGTGTTTAGTCCCAGGGTCCTTAGCTTAGTGATGAGCTTTGAGGGCACTATGGTGTTGAACGCTGAGCTGTAGTCAATGAATATCATTCTTACATTCGTAACATATTTTACGTTTTGCAAATTCGTAACATAATGTGAAATTTAATTTGTAGCACGTCATACAAAATGGGTGATGAACAACCACAAATTAATACGTACCATACGAAACGTAACACATCATACTAAATGTAGTGTCTCGGATTTACATAAAGAATAATTCGAAATGCTCTGAGACCAGGTTTGTTGTAGAGCAGCAAAGCACAGCTCAGAGCCAGCTATTGGCAAGCAGGGACAAGGTTGGGCTGCTGAGAAGTTTACCTCTCTCTCCCACTGACCCATTGTTGATAAAGGTCAAGCAGCAGTCATTCAAAAGCCTTTCGGCTCTGACCTTCCCTCCCCCGCACAGCGCACCACAACCACTGCTATTATTATCCTCCGGAACACTTAAATCTTGATTTTTTATTTTGTGTGTATGTAGGCTGCTGTGTCCTTGGCTGGGATTAATTATGTTTGCATTTTGCCAGCTATGCACCTTTTAAAAGCAAATATTTTTCAGCGTCCACGGAGATCACATTCACAGTAATTGCGGCATAGGTCTACTCAATCAGAAATTACCTTTAAATGTAAAGCGTGCTATAACGCAGATAAACTGCTGATTGGATTTCATCCGGGCCCTTTTCCTTTTCTTGTGATGACAATGTTGTAGTTTCAGTGCCGACCCGTCATTCAGGGCAGGTGGGGCAGAGCATCATCATGAATCAAGTCGACAATCTACTGGCAAATCCTTTTCAATCCTTGTCATATGAAGATAAATTATAGATAAAACGTATTGGTGCTCATCAGCCATTGGACATAAACATTACACAACAAGTTGGAAATCACAAATTCAACAATGAGTGGTTTGGAAGGAATCAGTGGCTAACTGCAAGCATTGCAAAGTAACCACTAGCTTGCTATTAAGTGGAGAGGGTGCGTGGTCCAAGTCTGGGTTTAAGGCTCTCTTTTCCAAGCTTAAAAGGATAAACATTCACATGCAACACCATGGGCCAAAAAAGGTTGAATACATTGGCCATGCTGTCAATCCAGCATGACTTCTGCCGCATTCAAAACAACTGGAAACTCTGAACTGGGAAATCTCAGACTTCAGTGAGTTCCAGACAACTGGGAACTCTGAAAAAAACAAGCTCCGACTGAGAAAATACATTTTGAACGGTCATCCAATATGGAATTCCAACTTGGGAATTTGGGCCTCTTTCTAGAGCTCCGACCTGAAGCTCACTGAAGTCATGATTCAACCTTGTTTTTTTCCAAGTTCCGAGTTGTCTTGAAAGCACCATAAATCCAGATAATGGCAGACTTTGATGACAAAGTTTGATGACAAAATTTGCCCACAAGAAGCACCGCCACGCCACCTTCCTGTTCAAGTAAGCACAACTATGTGAGTCCAAAAATGTATTGTATGCTGCTGCATAAATGATGCAGTACCATTCAAAAGTTTGGACACACCTACTCATTCCAGGGTTTTTCTTTATTTTTACTATTTTCTACATTGTAGAATAATAGTGAAGACATCAAAACTATGAAATAACACACATGGAATCATGTAGTAACCAAGAAAGTGTTAAACAAATCAAAATATATTTTATATTTGACATTCTTCAAAGTAGCCACCCTTTGCCTTGATGACAGCTTTGCACACTCTTGGAATTCTCTCAACCAGCTTCATGAGGTAGTCACCTGGAATGCATTTCAATTAAAAGGTGTGCCTTGTTAAAAGTTAATTTGTGGAATTTCTTTCCTTCTTAATTCGTTTGAGCCAATCAGTTGGTAGGGGTGTCACACCCTGATCTGTTTCACCTGTCTTGTGCTTGTCTCCACCCCCACCAGGTGTCTCCCATTTGTTACCATTATCCCCTGTGTATTTATACCAGTGTTTTCTGTTTGTCTGTTGCCAGTTCGTCTTGTCTCGTCAAGCCTACCAGCATGTTTTTCCGTGCGCCTGTTTTTCCTAGTCTCTGTTTTCGAGCCCTCCTGGTTCCAACCTTTTCTGGCTGCCCTGACACTAAGCCCGCTTGCCTGACCATTCAGCCTGACCTCGAGCCTGCTTGCCGCTCTGTACCTTTCGGACTCTGACCTGGTTAATGAACTTCTGCCTGTACTCGACCTGCCTCTTGCCTGCCCCTTGTATTTTAATAAATATCAGAGACTCTAACCATCTGCCTCCTGTGTCTGCATCTGGGTCTCGCCATGTGTCATTATAAGGGGTGGTATACAGAATATAGCCCTATTTGGTAAAAGACCAAGTCCATTTTATGGCAAGAACAGCTCAAATAAGCAAAGAGAAATGACAGTCCATCGTTACTTTAAGACATGAAGGTCAGTCAATCCGGAAAATGAACGTTTCTTCTAGTGCAGTCGCAAAAACCATCAAGCGCTATGATGGAACTGGCTCTCATGAGGACCGCCACAAGAAAGGAAGACCCAGAGTTACCTCTGCTGCAGAGGATAAGTTCATTAGAGTTACCAGCCTCAGAAATTGCATCCCAAATAGATGCTTCACAGAGTTCAAGTAACAGACACATCTCAACATCAACTGTTCAGAGGAGACTGTGTGAATCAGGCCTTCATGGTTGAATTGCTGCAAAGAAACCACTACTAAAGGACACCAATAATAAGAAGAGACTTGCTTGGGCCAAGAAACACGAGCAATGGACATTAGACCGGTGGAAATCTGTCCTTTGGTCTGATAAGTCCACATTTGAGATTTTTGGTTCCAACCGCCGTGTCTTTGTGAGACGCAGAGTAGGTGAACGGATGATCTCCGCATGTGTGGTTCCCACCGTGAAGCATGGAGGAGGAGGTGTGATGGTGTGGGGGTGCTTTGCTGGTGACACTGTCAGTGATTTATTTAGAATTCAAGGCACACTTAACCAGCATTGCTACCACAGCATTCTTCAGCGATATGCCATCCCATCTGGTTTGCCCTTAGTGGGACCATCATTTGTTTTTCAACAGGACAATCACCCAACACACCTACAGGCTGTGTAAGGGCTATTTTACCAAGAAGGAGAGTGATGGAGTGCTGCATCAGATGACCTGGCCTCCACAATCACCCGAACTCAACCCAATTGAGATGGTTTGGGATGAGTTGGACCGCAGAGTGAAGGAAAAGCAGCCAACAAGTGCTCAGCATATGTGGGAACTCCTTCAATACTGTTGGAAAAGCGTTCCAGGTGAGGCTGGTTGAGAGAATTCCAAGAGTGTGCAAATCTGTCATCATGGCAAAGGGTGGCTACTTTGAAGAATCTAAAATCTAAAATATATTCTGATTTGTGTAACACGTTTTTGGTTACTACATGATTTCATATGTGTTATTTCATAGTTTTGATGTCTTCACTATTATTCTACAATGTAGAAAATAGTACAAATAAAGAAAAACACTTGAATGAGTAGGTGTGTCCAAACTTTTGACTGGTACTGTAGTACTGTGCATGTTGTGTAGTAAGCTGTTAGTAGCCCATGTGCCTCACCCTAATCATTTGGTCCCTTTCCCCTTCATAACTTAGCCTACTGTTCTGACTTGGTGGTGCACATGTAGCCTATAGCCTGTTTTAGAGAAATGTAATCATCGAATATTGTAAGAGCTTTCATTGTGTGCTTATATGCCCCCTTTATTTATCCTACGGTTCTGACTTGGTGTACAGGGAGAATACTGTAAGAACGGCCCATGTTCTGAAATCTTTCGCTGTACATTTCAAAAGTGCTGAACAAATTGTTATATTGACTACGTCCGTCTTAGCTCGCTCATTAATATCTTAATCGAAATTACGGATTGCCTCTTATCCGCTCATCGTTCCCTTATGCCCCATAGTTTGTTCATCTCAGTTGTCAGTAGAAACCACATTTGTTTAAAGGCAGTAAATGAGGCTGAATGTACTGTTTTGCTGCCAGACAAGGCTCCACTGATAGCCAGGTGTAGTGGATTCACTCCATGGTGCTGAAAAGAAAGCTCTGCTGTTGGGACAGCTTTATGTAGGCCCCAACAGTTTGTTGTCACCGTTATAGGGCAATTAATGTATTGTTTAGTGTTGTGTTGTGTAGTGGCTTTGCTGGCATGCATCTAAAAAACAAATGTTGAGTTTGCCACACCAAGATTTACATGCTAAAATCGCCACTGTGTAGTTTCCACAGTAACAACTGAAAAAACAAATCTTCAGGTGGACACTGACGTGACGTCCACTGACATGTCCACTTCATTGCTCTCAACTACTTTCAATGTATTCAGATCAGTGCAGATGAAGGAGAGGGAGCCTCTTCTTCAGACTATTGAGATGCACCCTCCTACTATGGCTTTTGCTTTGAGGACATCCACTCATGATACATACTTCTTTCCTATAGCCCTTCACTTGCCAATGTTCTAAAATGCAACCACGTGACAGCTAACAGCCATTCAGAGTGACTTGTAGTTGAGGCCCATAGGTCTAGTATGCTTAATTTCTCATCCTATAGGACCACAATAAGCAATTTGGTATTTGAGGGCCTTTGTCAATTGAAATGTAGTGACTTATCACACCACAAGATGGCACTAAATGTCAGCTGTTTTGCCACATAAAGGCATTTTGGATGAAAAAAATACTTAAAGAACAATTTTTCCAGAGGGAACTTCATTTGTGGTGCCAGATACGAGCACATGAAAAATATTTAGAAAATTGAAGGTACAGTTCTGGGCCAGTTGGTTAGCCAGTTCTTGTGACACTTCTGGCTCTTGGGTTAGGTTACAACATGGAGAGGCCAGCCGTGGCCTTGTGGTCCATCCTGCAGGGTGGCTGGGCAGGCAGCTAGCAGCAGCAGCAGGCCAGTGAGGACCTCCAGGCAGAAGGAGAGCCAGGCCAAGCTGAGGGACCAGCCGAAGGAGGTGCTGACCACCTGGGCCAGACGCTCAGCCCCCACCAGCCTCTCAGTCTCAGCCAGCGCCTGCTGGGAGTAGCTGATGTACAGGCTCACACCGGAGAGGGTCAGGACACCTGAGGAAACACACCACACACACACACACACACACACACACACACACACACACACACACACACGGGAGTAATTGATGTAGTTGGGGCTCACTTTGAAGCGTGTCAGCAAACCTGGGGAGACACACAATAACAGTAAGGCATTGCTAATATACCAAATGCGCACACATGGAGTTGGAGAGGGAGATGAAACATTCTGGTTCACGTAAGCACAAAGTATGTACAAGTGCTTACGCCATACACTTGGCTTGGAGAGCAGGACCATCTTAAAAGGCGGTGACAATGGAGGACAAAGACACCACAGTCACTTAATCAGCTTCTTACACATAAAAGCATAGGATCAAAAGGACAGCCAGCGAAAGGGAGGAACACTTGAATGTTGTATTTCGTTTTATCTTTAATGGACTCTAGGAAGACTAGCCACAAGGTGGGTTTGAAAAAGACTATAAAACCCACATATCACAATGAGAGAACGGGAGAAACAAGAAGTAGACTGATGCAGGCACCATCTGATGACATCAGAGTTTAAGAGCCCTCAGAGTTCTGTTATGTTGCCATGGAGGAACCTCCTGTCTTTAGTTCCGGAACAGAGGAATAGGCAAAGTCAATAAACTATAACGTCTTTGTATCCGGCTCCCTGCACCCAGCAGCCCAAATCACCACATATTGCTGGCAGGGGGGCTAGGTGGGCGTAATTTTAATGTATCCCTATGTCACCCAAGGGTGTCATGAGCTGAGAGGGAGGAAGGAGTGGAAGGTGTGTGTGTGTGAGAGAGTCAGTTATTATTGAGTTGACCTACAATCCTCAAATGGACCATCAGAGACCCTCACTTTTCCCTCAGGCTCCATCTACACTGGACTGTCTGGTGACTAATACAAAGATGCTCACAAAATACCTGTAATCCCCCCACAATCAACAGCCTGATCACCTCTATACAAAGGAGATGTGTTGTACTGCATGAGGCAAATGGTGGTCACACCAGATACTGACCAGTTTTCTGATCCACGCCCCTATTTCTTTTTTTAAAGGTATCTGTGACCAACAGATGCATATCTGTATTCCCAGTCATGTGAAATCCATAGATTAGGGCCTAATTTATTTATTTCAATTGACTGATTTCCTTATATGAACTGTAACTCAGTTGAAATTGTTACATGTTGCTTTTCTATTTTTGTTCAGTATAATTCCAGCCTTGATTCCATTTCACACATCGCCATGTGCTGTTAATTCGGGATGGAGGCATGAAGAGTCTTGTTTGTTAACTCAGTTCTCCTGCATCACAAGGCTTTCTTTATCAGGGTTATTCTAGGCCTAACTGGCAGGGTCACGGGGAGAGAAAGGGCACCAGTAGAATTAGAATTAGTAGAATCTAGAATGTTCGTTCCACTCATTCAAATTTTATGGGGACGCCCATCGGTCAGGAGCTGAGAGTTAGCTTGGCTGGAGCTGCTGCATTGGTCACTCTTGATTAAGTAAAAACAGTAAACAATGCTCTACCCTCAAATTCCTTCTTCTAGGCTTTTCGGACCGGAGTTAAGCGCACGTAAAACAAACGTAATTCCCATTTTATGCACTTTTCTCGCTATGCGTATTCTGAGCTTGAATTTAAGCATGCGAATAGCATGCAATTCAACCGCTATTTGTTCGGGTGGAGATCTAAGAAATGAAGGTGTGGTGGAGGTGTGTCTACAGATAAACCGTATTCTGACCTTGGCTTAATTCCCTCATAATTCCACCTTTAAGCGCGAGGAAACCATGAATAAGGTGGAGCGAACCTGCCGGTTCCATGTACTTTCTTTTTCCCGATATAAATAATAGCGTTCTCCATGCACTGTAATTTATAAATGGATAAGAGCCATTGATAAGAACTGGAAAATGAGTAATCCTTTTCGAGAAGGGGATTGTAAATACACATAGCAATTGTTTTGTAATGATTTTTCATTATGATCCTTGGAGACGAATGTGAAACCAGCCATATGGAATCAAACTGAAAATCAACATGACATGTCACAGTGAAATAGGCTACCAATAACTGTGCCTTTATTACGAATATTAATTGTGTGCCCTCAATTTGCGTGAATTAAATTTGGACACCCTAGCTAAAGGCTTCTGTAGTTGATGTATGCGCATTAGAATGTTTTAATTATAGCCTATGCCTGGGCTTTTCTCAGTTTTATTTTAAATTTGTATAATTAAGCAATAAGGCCCGAGGAGGAGTGGTATATGGCCAATATACCACGGCTAAGAACTATTCATAAGCATGAAGCAATATGGAGTGCCTGGACACAGCCCTTAGCCGTGGTATATATACCACAAACCCCCGAGGTGCCTTATTGCTATTATAAACTGGTTACCAACGTAATTAGAGCAGTAAAAATAAATGTTTTGTCTTACACGTGGTATATGGTCTGATATTCAATGGCTGTCAGCCAATCAGCATTCAGGGCTCGAACCACCCAGTTTATAATGTTAAATATTAGCCACGATCGGGAGCCACCGTCAGTAATACCCACATACATTTATAACTGTCACTTTAGTGTTCGTTTTCTTCCATTTATAGCTTATATTTTGCATCATTCCATTCCGTTTCCCTTTCTTTCCTCTGTCACGTTCGTGTAAATTGTCCCTGAGGGTCGCTAGCATTTGTGGATCATATTAGGCTAACGTTGTGCAATAATTTGGGACATGTAGCCAATTTGAATCATTATGGGAATGACCACACATAGCAGGTTAAACCTGGAGCCTTGCGCACGGTTCACGACGACTGGACCGTTGTCATACAGTTTCATGATTAGTGAGAATTAGGGTAGATTCACAGGACTATTGTTCAACCCCTATTGTACACTTTTTTCCACCTTCCAATATTTAATGGATTGAACTTAGATATTTAGATTCATACATACTTTCCTAACCCTAGAATATACCTTATTAAATCTACAAGATCAGATTATTTTTTTATCTACCAGTTGGTGCTGAAATGGAGACGAAGAAGCATAGATGAGTACTAGTACTCCGGTGACGACGAACGCCGAAGCCTGCCCGAACCAGGAGGGGGGGAAGCCTCAGCGGAAGTCGTGACACCCGTGTGCCTCGTCTTCCCCATGGTGCCGTTTACCGCACTGGTGTATATTACGCATTGCTGCGTACCTCTGTTTATTTGAATAAACCATTTATTTCGTGATTTCCTCTCCTGTGCCTGACTCCGTCCAACATCACCCGTTACAGAATCACACACCTGAACAACATGGAGTCAGCAGGAACCGGGAATATGTCTGGAGTCGTGGAGCGGGTCCGGGAACAGCTTGGGCGAGGCGATGGATCGGGTTCTCCAGGTCGTCCAACGCCTGGAGAGGAGAGGACCCGACCCTTCGAGACCAGCTGAGCGACCGGATCCAGCCACCCACAACCAGAGGGATTCACCTTTCCCGACCGAGGGAGTACGACGGGGCAGCGGCACGCTGCCAGGGTTTCATCCTGCAGACGGAACTCTATTTCTCCACCATCAGCCCGGCTCCCTCGGAGCGGGAAAAGGTGTCCGCCCTCGTCTCCTGCCTCTCGGGCAAAGCCCTGGAGTGGGCCAAAGCAGTCTGGAGTGAGCTGCGTTGGACAACTACGGGGAGTTTGCTCGCCTCTTCCGGGCCGTCTTCGATCACCCTCCCGAAGGGAGAGAGGTGAGCGAGTGGCTGGTCCATTTGAGGCAAGGGACGAGGACCGCGCAGGACTTTGCCCTGGAGTTCAGGACTCTAGCGGCTGGATCCGGGTGGAATGAGCGGCCCTCATCGACCACTTCCGGTGCCACCTGCGAGAGGACATCCGAAGGGAGCTAGCTTGCCGGGACACCACGTCGTCCTTCAATCAACTAGTGGACATGACCATCCGGTTGGACAACCTGCTGGCTTCTAGAGGACGTCCTGAGAGGGGCCTGCCCATTTCACCCCCCCCCCCCAACTCCAACCCGGATCACGAGATGATGGAGCTGGGTGGTGCGGCGATCTGGTGTCACAAGAGGACATTCTACTGCACGCTGTCGTCGGCGTTCTTTTGGGTCTGGAGGCGGCAGGCAGGGCACTCTCACGTCAACCCAGGTATCGAACACCAACACTCATTCAGAGCCCTCTGCTGCGCACTGTACCCTACACATCCACTTCCCTGACTACACGGTAGTTCCCCAGTGTAAGGCGCTAGTCCATTCAGGCGCAGCTGGGAACTTTATGGACAAAGTCGTTAGCACATAGTCTAGGTATTACATTGGTTCCCCTATCCATTCCACTGCTCATCCAAGCACTTGACAGTCGACCATTAGGGTCAGGGTTCGTTAGGGAGGTTACAGCCCCAGTCACGATGGTTACACAAGAGACCAAGTCACTTTTTTATTATTGAGTCTCCTGATTTCCCTGTTGTGTTGGGTCTTCCCTGGTTAGCACTACACAACCCCACCTTTTCATGGCCGCAGAGGGTTCTCACGGGGTGGTCGCGAGAGTGTCAGGGTAGGTGTCTGGCTGTTTCCGTTGGTGCAACCACGGTGGAAAGTCCAGACACTACCTCCACTGTGCGCATTCCCCCCTGAATACCTCAATTTGGTGCACGCGTTTTCCAAAACGCAGGCGACTAAATTACCACCTCATTGGGCGGGGGATTGCGCGATAAACCTCTGGGTATACGCTGTGCCTCCCAGGAGTCATGTATATCCCCTGTCGCAGGCTGAAACGGAGGCGATGGAGACATACGTCTTCGAGTCCCTGGGCCAGAGGTTCATACGTCCCTCCACTTCGCCGGCCTCAAGTTTTTTTGTGAAGATGAAGGATTGAGGTCTGCGCCCTTGCACTGAACAAGGGGACTATTCGTTATACAGTCGGAAGTTTACATACACCTTAGCCAAATACATTTAAACTCAGTTTTTCACAATTCCTGACATTTCATCCTAGTAAAAATTCCCTGTCTTAGGTCAGTTAGGATCACCACTTTATTTTAAAGAAATGTGAAATGTCAGAATAATAGTAGAGAATGATTTATTTAAGCTTTTATTTCTTTCATTACATTCCCAGTGGGTCAGAAGTTTACATACACTCAGTTAGTATTTGGTAGCATTCCCTTTAAATTGTTTAACTTGGGTCAAACGTTTCGGGTAGCCTTCCACAAGCTTCCCACAATAAGTTGGGTGAATTTTGGCCCATTCCTCCTGACAGAGCTGGTGTAACTGAGTCAGGTTTGTAGGCCTCCTTGCTCACACACGCTTTTTCAGTTCTGCCCACAGATTTTCTATAGGATTGAGGTCAGGGCTTTGTGATGGCCACTCCAATACCTTGACTTTGTTGTCCTTAAGCCATTTTGCCACAACTTCGGAAGTATGCTTGGGGTCATTGTCCATTTGGAAGACCCATTTGCGACCAAGCTTTAACTTCCTGACTGATGTCTTGAGATGTTGATTCAATATATCCACATAGTTTTACTTCCTCATGATGCCATTTCTTTTGTGAAGTGCACCAGTCCCTCCTGCAGCAAAGCACTCCCACAGCATGATGCTGCCACCCCCGTGCTTCACGGTTGGGATGGTGTTCTTCGGCTTGCAATCCCCCCTTTTTCCTCCAAACATAACGATGGTCATTATGGCCAAACAGTTCTATTTTTGTTTCATCATACCAGAGGACATTTCTCCAAAAAGTACGATCTTTGTCCCCATGTGCAGTTCCAAACCGTAGTCTGGCTTTTTTATGGTGGTTTTGGAGCAGTGGCTTCTTCCTTGCTGAATGGCCTTTCAGGTTATGTCGATATAGGACTTGTTTTACTGTGGATATAGATACTGGAGGAAACAGGTACAAAAGTATCTTCACAAGGTCCTTTGCTGTTGTTCTAGGATTGTTTTGCACTTTTCGCACCAAAGTACGTTCATCTCTAGGAGACAGAACACGTCTCCTTCCTGAGAGGTATGACGGCTGCGTGGTCCCATTGTCACGGATTCTGCCGAGACTGCCCTTCCTTCTGGCTCGGGCAGGCTTCGGCGTTCGTCGTCACCGGAGTACTAGCTGCTGCCGATCTATGTTTTATGTTCATCTGGTTGTTGTCTAGTGTTGCACACCTGTTTCCCATTATGTATTATGTCCTTCCCTATTTAACCTGTTCGCTCCCACTGTGTGTTGTGCGTGTTTGTTACTTGTTACGAGTGTCGTTTGTGAGCGGGTTGCTCCTCCCTGTGTTGGAGGTTTTGCTTGTTTCTTTACTATACAGTAAAGTAGATTTTCATTTCATTCTGTGTCCTGCGCTTGACTCTGGCCTACCGCATTCCACAGACATTCATGACACCCATGGTGTTTATACATGAGTACTATTGTTTGTACAGATGAATGTGGTACCTTCAGGCGTTGAACCAGACTTGTGGAGGTCTACAATATTTTTTCTGAGGTCTTGGCTGATTGATATCTTTTGATTTTCCCATGATGTCAAGCAAAGAGGCACTGAGTTTGAAGGTAGGCCTTGAAATACATCCACAGGTACACCTCCAATTGAATCAAATGATGCCAATTAGCCTATCAGAAGCTTCTAAAGCCATTACATCATTTTCTGGAATTTTCCAAGCTGTTTAAAGGCACAGTCAACTTAGTGTATGTAAACTTCTGCCCCACTGGAATTGTGATACAGTGAATTATAAGTGAAATAATCTGTCTTTAAACAATTGTTGGAAAAATTACTTGTGTCATGCACAAAGTAGATGTCCTAACCGACTTGCCAAAACTATAGTTTGTTAACAAGAAATTTGTGGAGTGGTTGAAAAACGAGTTTTAATTACTCCAACCTAAGTGTATGTAAACTTCCGACTTCAACTCTAGTTATCCTCTACCCCTCATTCCATCTGTGATCGAGTCAATGCATGGGGCACACTTCTTCACAAAATTAGATCTCCAGGGCGCGTACAACCTGGTGCGTGTCCGAGAAGGGGACGAGTGGAAGACAGCATTCAGCACCACCACGGGGCATTACGAATACCTGGTGATGCCTTACGGTTTGATGAATGCTCCATCAGTCTTCCAGTCCTTTGTGAACGAGGTGTTTCGGGACTGGCTTGGTCACGGTGTGGTGGTCTACATCGATTACATTCTGTTGTATTCTGCTACACGCGCCGAGCATGTGTCCCTGGTTCGCAAAGTGCTGGGCCGACTGTTGGAACATGACCTTTATGCCAAGGCAGAGAAGTGTCTATTTTTCCAGCAGTCCGTCTCCTTCCTCGGATACCGCATTACCACCTCAGGTGTGGAGATGGAGGGAGACCGCTTTTCAGCCGTGCGTGATTGGTTGACTCCAACCACAGTGAAAGGAGGTGCAGCGCTTTCTTGACTTTGCCAACTACTATCGGAGGTTTATCCGGGGCTTTGGCAAGGTCGCAGCTCCCATCACCTCTCTGTTGAAGGGTGGGCCGTCCCGGCTCCGCTGGTCTGCTGAGGCTGACAGGGCCTTCAGTATCCTGAGGGCTCTGTTCACCTCAGCCCCGGTCCTGGCCTATCACTACCGTTCATAGTGGAGGTGGATGTGTCCGAGGTAGGGATAGGCGCTGTCCTATCTCAACTCTCGGGCACGCCACCCAAGCTCCGCCCCTGTGCCTTCTTCTCCAAGAAGCTCAGCCCAGCGGAGCAGAACTACGACGTTGATGATCGGGAGCTGTTGGCTGTTGTCAGAGCCCTGACCGTGTGGAGGCACTGGCTCAAGGGAGCGAAACACCCTTTCCTCGTCTGGACTGATCACCGTAACCTGTAGTACATCAGGGCAGCGAGGAGGCTGAATCCTCCCCAGGCCAGGTGGGCCCTGTTCTTCACCCGGTTTGATTTTACACTGTCCTACATACCGGGTACTAAGAACGTGAAGGCAGACGCACTGTCATGGCTGTACGACACAGAGGAGAGGCCCAGAGACAACACCCCCATGCTCCCGGCCTCCTGCATTGTGGCGCCGGTAGTATGGGCGGTGGACGCGGACATAGAGCAGGCGTAACGTACCGAGCCATCTCCACCTCAGTATCCAACTGGGCTGCGGTAGGTGCCGGCTCTTGTCCAGTACGTCTGATCTATTGGGCACGCACGTCCCCCTCCTCTGGTCACCCAGGTATCGGCCGTACAGTGCGCTGCCTGAACGGGAAGTACTGGTGGCCTACCTTGGCTAAGGACGTGAGGGTGTATGTCTCCTCCTGCTCGGTGTGCACCCAGAGTAAGGCACCCAGGCACCTCCCAGCGGGTAAGTTACAGCCCTTACCAGTTCCACAACGGCCATGGTCCACTTGTGTATTGACTTCCTTACTGATCTTCCCCTCTCTCAAGGTAACACCACCATCCTGGCTGTTGTGGACTGCTTTTCTAAAGCCTGCCGCCTCCTTCCTCTGCCCGGTCTCCCCACAGCCCTGCAGACTGCGGAGGCCCTGTTTACACACGTCTTCCGGCACTACGGGGTGCCAGAGGACATAGTGTCTGACCGGGGTCCCCAGTTCACATCCAGGATCTGGAAGGCGTTCATGGAACGTCTGGGGGTCTCGGTCAGCCTGACCACTGGTTTTCACCCCGAGTCTAATGGGCAGGTGGAACGGGTTAATCAGGATGTGGGTAGGTTCCTGTGGTCCTACTGCCAGGACTGGCCGGGGGAGAGGTCGGTGTTCTTGCCATGGGCCGAATATGCCCAGAACTCTTTCCGCCACTCCTCACTAACCTATCGCCATTTCAATGTGTTTTAGGTTATCAGCCGGTTCTGGCACTGTCACGACTTCCTCTGAGGCTGCCTCCGCTCCTTGTTCGGGCAGGCTTCGGTGTTCGTCGTCACCGGCCTTCTAGCCACTGCCGCTCCTCATCTCATCATTCCATTTGTTTTGTCTTGTTTATTACACACACCTGGTTCATATCCCCTCATCAGTACCTGTATAAGTGTTCACTCTGCCCCCTTGTCTTTGTGTGTGATTGTTCATTGTAGAGGATATATAGCTCGTTGGAGCTAGATTTGTATTGTGTATCGCCGGGATATTCACCCGTGTGCCTTGTCTTCCCCAGGGTGCCGTTTACCGCACTGGTGTATATTACGCATTGCTGCGTACCTCTGTTTATTTGAATAAACCATTTATTCCGTGATTTCCTCTCATGCCCCTGACTCCGTCCAACATCACCCGCTACAAGTCTGTCGACAAAATTCTAATTAAAGGTATACCATATTTAAAGGGATCACTTAAGAGAAATGTACTGAATGAAAACTCCACGCGAAGATCTGTTGGCCAGCAAGTGGGAGGGTTTTCAGCAGTTGAATTACATTTATTCAGCGCGTGCAAGGGAACCGTAAGAATGGCGTGTGCAAGAAAGGCGTAATTTCCTAAGTCAGAATCGGGCCCCTAAAGATTAAGGTGCTAAATCCTGGTAATACTGTCCAACAATGAAAAGGAAAACACTTTCAAGTGTGCTGTCCAATTAATTTATGTTTCACTCAGAGGACATACAATACTGTGTACTTGCACTTTCCATAGAGAAGGTCTTTACAACTCTAGCTCCAAGTGCCTCTCCATAAAGATAATAAAGGGTATACTGTACGGTTGAGAAGGTCATCCTCATAACTGGATTGGTAATCAACAGGCTAGGCAGGGGTGCCATCAAGCCATCTGTGGTCTGTTCCATCCCAGTGATCTGGCCTTGTAATGGGGATCTGTGTGCAGTGTCAGTCCATCATCATCCATCTCTCTCAACCTATTTCTCTCGCTCTCTCCAAACCTTTACATTTTCAATCTCTCTCCATACCCAAATCTCTCTTGTTTAAATCCCAAACACTCGTCTCTTCATCTCCCTCCTCTTTAAAGCCCATAACCCCACCTCTCTTGTTCTCCATCCTTAAGGCCAATAACCTCCACCTCTTTCTCCTCCTCTAAAGCTGGCTGAAGCCGTTCCCATCCATATCTTGCTCTCCAGTCCCATCCCTTTTCTATTCTGTCCACTCCTTTTTCCTCCTCACTCTATTACTCAAATCACTTTTATTTATTTCAGTGGATAGAACCAAATCATTGCTCTCCTCAGCAGTCCCCTTTCATCAAAATGAAATGAGGCAGTGAAAGTGTGTAAAGGACAGTGTGCGTGTGTGAAACCAGAGGGATATTGCAGTGTTGGCCATCCCCAAAGATCAGTAACATATATACTAATACTGGTAATCCATCTACTATCCGGGAGGCAACCAAACCAACATTTCCAGTAAGCACAGGAGAGAGATGGACAGGCAGCAGTGGAGAGAACAGCCATCTTAAAATCTTCTCCTTTCCTCTGTGGTCAAATCAAACCCATTATTATCAGTCTAGCTCTAGCCACATGGAGATAGTTTAGTGTGTGTGGAGACTGACATTGAGGTAAATAACATTGTAGACAATAACAAGACCTTTCCCAGTTGTTCTATGAGGCCGAGCCAGATGGTGTGAGACCTTCTGTATCTATGCTCCAATTAACCACACCACCACCCTCTCACTTCAACTGTGAAACTACATGGGTGCATCTCAATCATCTAAAATTACATTGATGCCTCCTCTTGTCTCCTTTGTAAGATTGATATACACACACAACTCCAAGTGTATGGGCTGGCTATAAAGCAGTGTTTCCCAACTCCAGCCCTCGAGCACCCCCAACAGCACATATTTCTGTTGTAGCCCGAGACAAACTCACCTGATTCAACTCATTGAGGGCTTGATGATTAGTTGACAAGTTGAATCAGGTGTGCTTGTCCAGGGCTACATCAAACATGTGTGCTGTTTGGGTTACTTGGGACTGGAGTTGGGAAACATTGCTCTAAAGACTTTATGGATGGGAGTATGTTGCATAGGAGTGAATTTGGACTTGGGCATTTAGGTGTTAGGTAGCCTTGCCCTTGTCCCAGATCTGCTTGTGCTATCATGTCAACTTCTTGTCATGCCAAACATGACAATGAGTAACAAGGAGTTGGCATGGTAACACAGACAGACTGGCACTAAGACCAGGTGTTAGGGCCCTAAGGATGAGAGATGATGATGGAGGCCACACATACTGCAGAGGAGGAGATAGGAGGCGGTGCCAGTGAGGAGAACGGGGCTCCGGGCCAGGGAACTGATCAATCCACAGATGCCTCCGAACACCAGCAGGACCAGGCTAAGAGGCAGTAGGACCACGATCGCACTGTGCATGTCTGGAGAAACACACAGACAATATTCCAACATTTGAGACAGATACAGATGCTTCATAAATAAGAGAATCTATTCGAAATGTCCAAAATAACAATAGCTGTAAATGTTTTATTCTATAATGTCTTGTTTAATAAGGTGATAATAGACAAGTAACTCACTCAACATGTGCATCTCAGGTTCAGAGTAGTTGGAGGAGTTAAATGTGTAAGAATACACCTTCTGACCTGTAAAGATGGATAATCACATTCAGAGGACCATATGGATTATCCACCGATTTTATTCAGTTTTCATTGTGACAATAAAACAGTGTCTTGCTACAGGAAAAATGACATACATTTTTTTTATTTATTTAACTAGGCAAGTCAGTTAAGAACAAGTTCTTATTTACAATGACGGCCTACACCAGCCAAACCCGGACGACGTTGGGCCAATTGTGCGCTGCCCTATGGGACTCCCAATCACGGCCGGTTGTGATACAGCCTGGAATCGAACCAGGTGGTCTGTAGTGACGCCTCAAGCACTGAGATGCAGTGCCTTAGACCGCTGCGCCACTCGGGAGCCCCTGATACTATAAAGTCATCCATCTAAGAAAGGCATTGGTTTCAAATTACTAAATCCACATGCATATGAATGCATACCTTCATAAGTTATCCACAGTCCAGAATGGGAATCCAAAACGTCTGTATCGGTCCGGTTGGTTCTGTTCACCTCAATAATGTACCAGTAGTCACTCCCGATCGCCGCAGCCAGGAACGCGAAACTGAGGATACCGAAGATGCCGGCGGTGACCACCAGAGAACCATAGGACAGCTTCATCTCACCTGATTGATGTAAAGGATTTGCTCAGATAAAAAAAAAAAAAAAAAAAAGTGCGCCTCGATTCAACTCCCAACCGGTATAGGGACTGGTAACATGCCCTATTTGTACGCACTCTTTCTGTGTTGACTAGAGGGGTTAATGCCAGTAAAAGGCGAAAGTACTTCAGATTATAGTGAAGTTAGAAGTAAAATATCATAACTAATCAAAATCATCTCCACTGGGAGGTCGCACCGGTAATCTTTATTTCCATATCTTCAGGATGACGCTCTTTCACGGCATATCCTGCAAGTTCACCGCTCAATAGATCTTAAACAATGAGGTTTCGAGGATTGACCACAACGCTGAGGGATAAAATATTTTTTTCTGCGCAGCAGCAGAGTACAAGCAGGCGGGTCCTTTTATTTTATGGGCGCCAGGCGCACATGTCTCTATCTCCCTTTTAACGCATGGCCATTACGCACATCAACTAGTGCAAAGCACAAAAATATTGTAGCGATCCGCGATGCGTAGGGTGTTTGCCTTTCACTCCAGCGACCCGGGTTAGCTTCCCTACCTCACCATTTACTACAATTTGTTAGCAGGTTTACCAGTAGATCCTCACATTCCCAGTTTATATCATCAGTTCTAACAAATGAACACAATATATGACAAATGGAACATGAGATATTCAAATTGGGAAATAAAATATGTATTGATAAAAACATACCAACATAATGATGACAGACAATATTTACAATAGGCTACTGCGCTACCAGTGATTACTCCAAACAGAGCCGAAAAACATTTGTAAAGTACTCAAACAGGTCCAGTCTCTCCTCCTCTCTCATCCATGGCAGTCTTGATGATCTCTCCTCTTCTGCTTTTTGCCTCCTACTCAAAGTTAGTGATGGCCTCATTGCATGGTTTTTGAGTGGAAAATAAAAAACATTTCAAGCTGGTGTTCTCATCATAATTGTCCACACACACGTATCTTCAGATAATAAATATTTTACTCAAAGATATGCCTGTATTTATAGGAGACGTTTGGCCTCAACATCACCTGATGCGTGTTCTGCTGCATTATGATTTTTTTCGCACAAGTTACAGACTGTTCAGAAATAACATTCTCAGCACTAGTAAAGACCTAGGATGTGGAGTGTTTTCTCTGCATCTAGACTAGGCTATATGTAGTTGTTGACATTCTTGTTCTACCCATATACAGTGCATTCGGAAAGTATTCAGACCCCTTCACTTTTCCCACATTTTGTTACCTTACAGCCTTATTCTAAAATAGATTAAATTGTCCCCCCATCAATCTACACACAATACCCCATAATGAGAAAGCAAAAACTGGTTTAGAAATTTTAGCAAATGTAGAATCTCACTAATATACCCATTCTTTCAATTCTCAATAATAACATTAATACATCCAATATTAGGTCACGCCTATTAGATTTACCAGATTATAAACTATTCAATACAGACAGAGAATCTGAGCATACTATAATTCTAACAGGTTGTACTTCCTCCACCCACTGGAGGGCAACTATTATCGCCAATAATTCAACTGAGTATACTGACAGTTCATCTGTTAGTCTTCTACATATCTGCACATCAAATTCAGGAACGTAAACGCCTACTCCTGTGCGCCCACTATCTGGGTCCTTGGATTTCCAAAGACCTAGTCGTAGCTCAGCTTACAATGCGGAACTTCTGCTTCTCTTCCACAGTCAGTTCGTTCACACTCTTCTTCAGAGAGATTAAGTTGCAGTTGGGTGAATGGGACTTATGCTCCTTCCTGAAACAAGGAGAGTAATGCCATGATGAGAAAAACATTATCAATGGGATCAACAGAAACAACAATACTAAATTGTATCCTATTTCTAGTGTAGTAATTGAGGAGCAACAGCCAGAACAGGGATTGAATTAGCCTAGGCTCCCAGTCTTCGCTCACTGGGCAGTGGCGACTTTCACTACTGGTAGCCTGATTCATTTTCTGGTGATAGAAATCTGAACGCACTACCCCCTAGCTATCACCAGATAATAAATCAGGTAGTGAAAGTCTAGCCTCTGCCTATTTTGTCTCAAATTTACAGCTGCATAAAGAACAACCACCCAGACAACCGGTAGAGTTCAAATGTAATTTTAATCAACATTGTCTTGTAGAGGTCCTAAAAGGCTCCTTTTCAAATGATTGTATAGCTATAGCTCAGATGGTATGTCAGCTTAAGCTAGCTATCACTGGCTGATGAATCAGGCTAGACATGAACCAGCAACCCTGTTGTTACACACAGACCTCTTCAGAGTATGTAGCTAGCTAGCCCAATAATGTACTCAAGGCAGGGTTCCCCAACTGGTGGCGGGTGATTTTATTTGGCCCCCCAAGATTTCTGAGCAAAAAAAAAAAAAAAAAATCAGCTCCAAGTGATTTTAATTTAGGAAATCTGTTCCAAGAGTATGCCCACGCATATATGGGGCCAGTAACCAAAAGGTCGCTGATATATATATATATATATATATATATATATATATATATATATATATATATATATATATATATATATATATATATATACACACACACACACACATACACTTGAAGTCGGAAGTTTACATACACTTAGGTTGGAGTCATTAAAACTCGTTTTTCAACCGCTCCACAAATTTCTTGTTAAACTATAGTTTTGGCAAGTCAGTTAGGACATCTACTTTGTGCATGACAAGTAATTTTTTCAACAATTGTTTACAGACAGATTATTTCACTTATAATTCACTGTATCACAATTTCAGTGGGTCAGAAGTTTACATACACTAAGTTGACTGTGCCTTTAAACAGCTTGGAAAATTCCAGAAAATGATGTCATGGCTTCTGATAGGCTAATTGACATCTTTGAGTCAATTGGAGGTGTACCTGTGGATGTATTTCACGGCCTACCTTCAAACTCAGTGCCTCTTTGCTTGACATCATGGGAAAATCAAAAGAAAATCAGCCAAGACCTCAGAAAATAAATTATAGACCTCCACAAGTCTGGTTCATCCTTGGGAGCAATTTCCAATCGCCTGAAGGTACCACATTCATCTGTACAAACAATAGTACGCAAGTATAAACAACATGGGACCACGCAGCAGTCATACCGCTCAGGAAGGAGACGCGTTCTGTCTCCTAGAGATGAACGTACTTTGGTGCGAAAAGTGCAAATCAATCCCAGAACAACAGCAAAGGACCTTGTGAAGATGCCGGAGGAAACAGGTACTAAAGTATCTATATCCACAGTAAAACGAGTCCTATAAATCGACATAGCCTGAAAGGCCGCTCAGCATGGAAGAAGCCACTGCTCCAAAACCGCCATAAAAAAGCCAGACTACGGTTTGCAACTGCACATGGGGACAAAGATTGTACTTTTTGGAGAAATGTCCTCTGGTCTGATGAAACAAAAATAGAACTGTTTGGCCATAATGACCATCGTTATGTTTGGAGGAAAAAGGGGGTGCTTGCAAGCTGAAGAACACCATCCCAACCGTGAAGCACGGGGGTGGCAGCATCATGCTGTGGGGGTGCTTTGCTGCAGGAGGGACTGGTGCACTTCACAAAATAGATGGCATCATGAGGAAGGAAAATTATGTGGATATATTGAAGCAACATCTCAAGACATCAGTCAGGAAGTTAAAACTTGGTCGCAAATGGGGTCTTCCAAATGGACAATGACCTCAAACATACTTCCAAAGTTGTGGCAAAATGGCTTAAAGACAACAAAGTCAAGGTATTGGAGTGGCCATCACAAAGCCCTGACCTCAATCCTATAGAAAATGTGTGGGCAGAACTGAAAAAGCGTGTGTGAGCAAGGAGGCCTACAAACCTGACTCAGTTACACCAGCTCTGTCAGGAGGAATGGGCCAAAATTCACCCAACTTATTGTGGGAAGCTTGTGGAAGGCTACCCGAAACGTTTGACCCAAGTTAAACAATTTAAAGGCAATGCTACCAAATACTAATTGAGTGTATGGAAACTTCTGACCCACTGGGAATGTGATGAAATAAATAAAAGCTGAAATAAATCATTCTCTCTACAATTATTCTGACATTTCACATTTCTTAAAATAATAATAATAATAATAATTAAAATAAAGTGGTGAACCTAACTGACCTAAGACAGGGAATTTTTACTAGGATGAAATGTCAGGAATTGTGAAAAACTGAGTTTAAATGTATTTGGCTAAGGTGTATGTAAACTTCTGACTTCAACTGTATATATATATATACACACACACACACACAGTACCAGTCAAAAGTTTGGACACACCTACTCATTTAAGGGCTTTTATTTATTTTTGCTAGAATAATAGTGAAGTCATCAAAACTATGAAATAACACATATGGAATCATGTAGTAACCAGAAAAGTGTTAAACAAATCAAAATATATTTTATATTTGAGATTCTTCAAAGTAGCCATCCTTTGCCTTGATGACAGCGTTGCACACTCTTGGTATTCTCTCAACCAGCCTCACCTGGAACGCTTTTCCAACAGTCTTGAAGGAGTTCCCACATATGCTGAGCACTTGTTGGCTGCTTTTCCTTCACTCTGCGGTCCAACTCATCCCAAACCATCTCAATTGGGTTGAGGTCAGGTGATTGTGGAGGCCAGGTCATCTGATGCAGCACTCCATCACTCTCCTTCTTGGTGACAGTAAAGGCCTAATTAAAAGAACAGTGATGAAGGAAATGAAAAATGCTGGGCAGAGCATGGCCAGAGCTCATGGCTGAGCGAATTGGAGCGGGAGAGAAGGACGAAGCTCGAAACTAATTTACATCCGCTCCAGCGAAACTCGATCCACCCCAGCTCCACTCCGATCCTCCAATTCAAGCCAATGTCTTAAGTAGTTGAACCTGTTATTACTCCAAACTCTTGAAAGGGACAAACTGACACGTTTTTATATTAGTTAAAAACCACTTTATATCGAAGGAGTGCCTTTGTTTTGTACACAAAGTTGATGACTAAAGTGTCTTATTAGGAATTTTC